CCCCTCACTCCTGACCCACAGTACCCCACATCCTGCCAGGGTGTACGGGGACCTCCCTCTCCAGGCTCCAAACCCCACACACCTTCACAAATAACACTCCCCCCCCCCACATGCACACTTCAAAAACAGCATCTTATGATTTACATTCTAAATTACTTGAATTTTAAGAGTTTGCCTCATGATTTTTGACACAGTGGGATTAGCAATACTGCAGAGTCCAACCCCCTGGTCAAAACAGGACCAGCCCCAACCAGATCATCCCAGCCGGGGCTTTGTCCAGGTGGGTCTTAAAAACCTCAAAGGATGGAGCTTCTCCCACCTCTTGGGGTAGCCCATTCCAGTGTTTTACTTCCCTCTTTGTGAGAGTTTGTCCCACTATCTAACCTAACTTCACTTGCTGCGACTTGAGACATTGCTGCTTCAGTGTTGCCAACTTGTGATTTTTGGCATTGTTCCTAAAGTCAATGCTTCGGGAATGTGAAAAAAAAACTTAGCTCTTTCTTTTATATAGGTATATAAGAGAGCCAAGTTTTTCACATTCCCAATGCGCAGGCTTTAAGAACAACGCCAACAATCACAAGAGCTGGCAATACTGCTCCTTGTAGTAAATACCGGGCAAAGCGGGAGAGCTCAGCAGCGCTCCAGCCTTTCAGACTCAGGCAGCCTGGGGAAAACAGTGCGGCTTGACCCCTTTTTTTGTTGCTTTTTGTTATCTGGTGGCTCCGAAAGCAACCGAGGCAGAAGGCTCTTCCACTGCAGGGGCCTGTGCGAGACCCCGGGTTTGTCCCGGGAAGCAGGTGGGGGACGGGGAGGTAGTTGGCAGGCAGGGGACAAGCGGGGATCTCCATTCTTCCCAGCTGTCAAGAGCAGGTGGAGGCTGCTCAGCTGTGTGGTGCAGCCGCGGGATCCTGATCCTGCCCTGAGCAGGGCACGGGCTAGGCGGCCTCGCCAGGTCCCCAGGCCCGCCCCAGGCAGTGCGGGGCAGGAGGGGGGCGCGGGCCCGGAGCCAGGCCGCCAGCCCCGCGCCTGGCACAAGCCCCCCGCTCCCTTCGCCCCGGGGACCCCCAGCGCCCCGGC